AAGCCAACAAATGGGAAAATACAAAAATCCGGGGCGAAGGCAGGAAGCTCCGCCTCACCATGTGCAGGGGTTGGGGAGGGAGAGGTGGCTTTTGACCTGAGCTTTGAAGGATGAGCAGAATTTGCCAGGCAGAGAAGAAGGGGGGAGGGCATTCCCTGCAGGTGCAGTGGCCCGGGGTGGGAGTCATGGCATCCTTGGGGAATCACTATGGTTCTCCAAGAATGTTGAACTGAATCAAAATACTGAACGCTAATTCCCATCTCCTTTCTCTCTTCTCAGGTCTCTGGCCATCCGAGTGTCTGGCTGGAGCCCCCCGGGGGGGCCTGAGCCCCAGGACAAGGGCCTAGACGGCCTGTCGTTCCTCGGGGACAGCTGGTCTGGGGCTGTCGTTCGGAGGGTGCTCTCTGGGCCAGGATCGGCCAGGGTGGAGCCAAGGGAGGTGAGGCCCCGCCCCTCTGAGCTGGGGGCGGAGTCAGTGCTTTAGTTGGGGATGGATGCCCTCTGATTGGTGGATCTAGGTCACTGGGTGGAGTTTCTGCGGATTGGCCGAAGCTGAGGCGGGCTCAGTGACTAGCGGCTGGTTGCCCCGCCTCAGCCAGCATCAAGTGAAATCTGATTGGGTAGGGGCTGGGAGGTGGGGCAGATTGACTGAACCTGGACAGATCCCCACCCTTACACGTGGGAAAGACCAGACTGAGCCAGGCTGGGTGGGGAGGCCAGTTGCGAAGAGCAGTGTCTGACTGGGCACCACCCTGTGAGGTGGGGGCAGCTGAATTTTGAGACATGGTCACCCCCACACCCGATGTCCTCCAGCCCCAGGGCTGTCTCCGGAAGCCCTGGGAAACTCAATTCCCTCCCTGCCCGGGTTTTCTCCCAGCCAAGGGCAGAGGCTGCTGGCTTGGAGCGGGCAGTCCTGGAAGGCGAGGCCCAGCAGAGAACCTTGCCCTGGAACCAGACATCCACACTCCCTCTGATGGACTTCAAGGGTAAATCTGGCCTGGGGGGAGGGACTGAGGACTCAGGAGTCCTAGAAGGTCAGAACTGAGGGCCCAAGAGAAGGCTCATCTGGTCCATAGTGTGGGTGGGACAGCCAAGGCCTGAGAGAGGGATGCTCCGCCTCCTGACCCCTGGCAGTTCCCTTCCCTCCCGCACCCCTGCCTTCTTGCCGGTTGTCCTTGTGCCCTTCCACTGTCTTGTCCTCAGTAAACAGCTTACAGTGAAAGGAGCACTGGATAGGAGTCCAGAGACCTGGGTTCAGGTCCTGGTTCTGTCCCGAGTGGGCTTGGTGGCTTTGGGCCAGTCCCCCACCCTCTCTGGGCCTTGGACTCTCACTTTAAGAAGGGGAAGGTGGGGACTTCCCTGGTGGGCCAGTGGCTGGGACTCCTTGCTCCCAATACAGTGGACCCGGGTTCGATTGCTGCTCGGAGAGCTGGATCTGCGTGCCACAACTAAAGATCCCGCATGCCGCAACTAAGACCTGGTGCAGCCGAATGAATAAATATTAAAAAAAAAAAAAAGAAGGGGAAAGTGGGGTCCTGGCCGCTCAGGCCTCGAGAGGGCCACATCTGTGGGCTCTCTGAGGCTGATGCCTGACTTTCCCCTCTCCTTGTCCTCCTTGCTGCCCCCTGCCTGTCCATGCCCAGCCTGCCAGTCCTTCCATGAGGCCCTAGACGCCTGGGTGAAGAGGCCGGGGGCCGAACCCTTCTACATTCGAGCCAACCTCACCCTGCCTGAGCGGACCGACCCCCATGCCCTGTGCGTGAAAGCCCAGGAGATCCTGCGGCTGGTGGACTCGGCGTACAAGCGGCGGCAGGAGTGGTTCTGCACGCGGGTTGACCCCCTCACGCTGCGGGACCTGGACCGGGGCACTGTGCCCAATTATCAGAGGTGACACTTCCAGCAGCCCTGGGAGCTGGGACTGGGATGGGGGACTCTTTCTCCCTCCTTCAGTCCCTCGCCATCCTCTGGGACAGGATTGCGGGGCTGGAGGAGAGAAGGTGAGGGGCTCCCCTTCTCCCTACAAACACATGACATGACCCCCTTGCACAGAGCCCAGCAGCTCCTAGAAGTTCAGGAGAAATGCCTGCCCTCCAGCCGACACCGGGGGCCCCGCAGTAATGTAAGCAGGGCTGGGGGGGCAGGGCGAGGGCCTGGGGAAGGGGTACTGAGGTGGGCCCCAAAAGGGAGAGGACAGGCTCCATTATCCGGGAGCTGGGGGAGGAGACCCCACCCACGCTTGGTGGCTCATCCTCTTGGTGAGCTCCTTGGTCGCTTCTCCACCCAGACTGCTTGATCCTCTCCGATGTGTCCAGCAAAGAGAACAACAGGGCTCCCGTCCGGGTAGTTGAGAGGGGGAGGTGAGATAGTGTGCCCGATGCCCAGGAGCATGTGTGGCACATGGTGAGCACTTAACGGAACAACAGTCACACCCCCTTCTCTAATCCCTGGGCCAGGGCTGGGCTGGGTGATGGCCCCCACTGTGCGCCTGGGCTGAGTGAGGCTCAGAGAGGTTAAAGCGGTCTCAAGAGCCCATGGTGCTAGAGAGAAGGTGGAGAGCCTGGGCTCTGGAGCCAGGCCGCCCAGATTTGCATCCCTGCTCTGCTCCTTCTCAGCCTGTGACCTTGGACAACCACGGGACCCTCCCTTGAGGCTCTGTTTCCTCATCTGTAAAATGGGGGGATTATGCTGCCTGCCTCTTCGTGCACCTGGGATCTAGTTAGTGTCTGTCACATTGTAGGCTTTCAACACCTGTCAGCTATTGGTATAATTAGTGCTGTCGATATTGGTTTCCGTAATCTTCCTACCCAAGGTCACATTGCTAATTCATTGGAAAAGACCCCAGAGTTTGTCTCTTATGTCTTATCCTGGACCTCGGTTTCTCAGTCACTAAAGTGGGGGCAGACCCAAGGCTCCTCTAGCTCTAGCTGGGTCTGATAGTCTTGTTTCCCTTGGTCCCTAGTGATGGTTGCCCTTCCCTGCCTCGGGGGCTGTGCTGGGCCAGGTGGGGGCAGGGGAGAGCCTGGTGGGGAGGAGGCTCCTGTGCTGACCCATGAGCCTGGGCAGTAGTGGCAGCGGGGCCCTCTCTCCCGGCGGGCGGGATGGAGCTGAGCTCTCAGGTGCCCCCCTCTTT